TCTATCTATCTATCTATCTATCTATCTATCTATCTATCTATCTTTCTATCTCACTCAGGAGGTAACTTGGTATCCCCCCCCCCAAAAAAAAAATGCTATTCTGCCTTTGGGGGTCTATGAAATACCATGAGATTAAGCTGACTTATCTTAAGCTGCTCACAGGTTTTATGACATCTCACAGGAAGGATAGAATATATGTATAAAAAGGGCACGCACACACATACACCACAGCTTGTGTTTTGTCTGAAAGTTCATTTCCTTGCAAAATTGAACTCAATCTACTCTTTTATTGCAGTACAATATAAAGAATACATCATTCCTTGTACCGTCAGAAAAAACCTTGCATATATCACAAGCGAACGTACATTAAAAAAAACAAGGACAGAATAAACTATAAAGTGGTAACGCAAGATTCAACATTTAAACTTATTCTAGGCTATGTCGAAACCGATTGTTTCCTCATTTGGGGAAAATAAAAGGCATTTTAGAAATGGGTAGCAAACACCTGTCTTGAATTCAAGCTTTCTAGTGCTATCCATGCATAACCTTTTTTATGCTTTCTTTTTTTTTTTCCTCTTCTGGAAATGACTTCCAATTGGCATCCATTTGTCGTCTTTTGGCTACTTTCAAGTTCCCCCCTTCCAAACTGATGACCTTATAGGGAATCTACTGGCGTGAAATAGAGAGAAAAATATGCACAGGGATGAGAGCTATCTAAAAGTCGGAGTCTGCATTTTGGAAATTAATGGGCGTTATCTGTGGGTGACTGGCAGAGCGATGGCTCTGTGTAAGTCTGACTGCATTACAAAGTAAAACGAGGGAGCAAATATTAAATAAAATTCCGGTATGTGACAATGGACAGTCCATTAGTCTCCCTTTAGTCAGTGCCATCATATTTCACCACAATTGCCTATCTACACATATTTGTGTGTGTGTGCGTGTGCGCGTTTATCTACGTGCTTAAAAGCTCCCGTTAGAGGCATTTAAATTGAGAGCATTGAACGTTACGGATTAAAAAAATAGCCTTCAGTGCTGCTGACTTTTGCATTTTAGGATGCTTAGAAAATCAGACCTGTAGGAATCCTGTAAAATCCTGTAAAAAAAAAAAAAGTTCTGTAATAACTAGAATAATTACATAAACCGTGTAGCTTCTTCATGTGAAAAAAAAATGTCTCCTAGGTCATAGAATTGGCTTGCATTGTTACGATCCTTATTAAGTTGTGCGTGCTGATGGTTTGCATAAGAAAACATCGGTTAGAGAGGATGCTTAATAATGTATATCTCATCTTGGCGACTTCAAGATCTGCGGGCTTCGATTCCCAGAATTTCCCAGCCAGGTTGCTTAATATTCTAACGAATCCTATATCAGTGTTGGATCTTTCAGAGATTATGAACCCCGAAGGGAGAGCAGCCGTCCAAATGACTTATTCTCAAATTGTGGCGCTCTCTTCAATTTGTTTGCTTCAAGAACTCCCCTTGGGCTGGGAAGCCTATTTTAGGCTGCAGCTGTCTCTAAAATGGGATGGAGGAAATGATTAATAACATGGCACCAGATGCACAGATAAGAGGGGAAAGTGAAAACGACTGCTCGGATTTGGGGGATGCCGTCAGAAGTCGAGAACTGGCTTTTTAATGGGCAGCGAATCACAGATTCGGCTCCTGGCTTGGCCAGTTTAAAAGAGAGGTCTCTTAGGTGCCATGAAGGAAATCCATCCTGATTCAATCGAAATAAGAACAGGTAGTCCTCGATTTATGACCAGAACGGAGCCCCAGTGTTGTTAAGTGGGTTTCGCCCCATTTTATGACTTTTCTTGCCACATTTGCTAAGCGAATCGCTGCAGTTGTTAAGTTAGTTTCTGAATTCTGACCATTTCTTCTCAGAAGGTCACAAAAGATGATTGCACGACCCCGTCCTAAATATGAACCGGTTGCCAACGTAAGTCACAGGACCACGGGGGACGCTGCAACAGTCATAAGTGTGGAAAATGGTTCTAAGTCCCTTTTTTCAGTGCCGTTGTAAACTTCAAACGGTCATTAAACGAACTGTTGTAAATCAAGGACTGCCTGAAGTTATCTAACCTCAATCGGATTCCCACTTAACTAAGGAGTAGGAAGTTGAGTGAACCACAACCGGACATGTGTAATATGCTAAGTAAAACACTCCTGGCTTAGTGCATTGTGGGAATCCGTCACTGTGGCCTGCTACAGTAAAATGACCACGGAGTCATGCAAAGTGTGTGCTGATTCTTCCTTTTATATCAGGGATGCTCAACTGAAGCAACTAAACTGTGTGGACTTCAACTCTCAGAACTCCCCAGCCAGCCCCAGAGTTGAAATCTACACCCTTTAAAGTTGCTAAGGTTAGGAAATCCATGACGCGATGCATTTTGGGCCGAGTGATCCTGATTGCAACAAGTGAAAAAAAAATATGGATTTTTTCCCCCTCTGCAGAGTTTTTGGAGCCATATTGGCCAGCCAGTCAGTTGGACCTGCCTCTCCCCTCACTGCCCCATGCTAATCTGTATCTTGTAGTAGATCTGAAAGTTAAAATCGTAATCTGAGGTTGTTTGGGGTTAAATGAGAGTTCCTTCTCCTTCTTTCCCAAGAGCAAAGGGTTAGCTAGTGCAGGAAATTGGTGGTATGTCCCTAGAAATAACCTTGGCTCTTACTGGACCTTGGATACTCTCAGCCAGGAATTTGACCTTGTTTTGAAGAAAGCCCGTTTATCGTTCTAAGCAAGTGATTCTTGTTTTGCTGTCTTTTTGCTCATTGTCAGATTTCTAAATGTTGTTTTTTTCCGCCTCCCTTTCTAATGTTATTGTGGGTAAATGATGTGGAGAGGGTATTTTTTTAGGTGAAGCTTGACTTGAAGAGGTTCTGCATATCGTCAGCCTGGAACATACCAACGGGCACAGTTTGGTCCAGCATTACATTCCCTGTTTGAGCAGGTTTCCATTCACGACCCCCTTAGCACCCCCATAGTCAGGTGATCAGAATTTGGGCTCTTGGTAACTGGCGTGTATTTACAGTGGCTGCAGCATCCCAGGGTCACGTGGTCCCCATCTGCAAGATGCTCAGGTGGCTTCTAGCAAGGGGGGGGGACAGATTTACTCAATGGGTGGATGATTCGCTTAACAACTGCAGTGATCCATTTAACATCCATGGCCAAAAAAGGTTGTAAAACCATGCACTGAACAATCATCTTGCTTAGCAAATGGAAATTCTGGTCTCAGTTGTGGTTGTAAGTTGTGGACTACCTGTGTTGCAATCTTACCTGCATTTGTTAGAGAAGTTCGCAATGAGGCCCATTTTGTATATATTAAGGGAGAACAAGCTGTACAGCAAGTGAAGGCAAAGCATTAATTGCAGGTAAATCACAGGCGAAGCGGTTTTGTAATATTCTTCCAATAAGGAAATTCAAGCTGGCTAATCCTTTGTCATATTTAAGGAGGCTCAGTTACCAGGAGGTTGAATTCTTTTTGAGTATGCAGTTAATATTTGGGCAGAAAAGTCCGTATCAACGCCAGTGGGGCATTCTTTTCACAGGAGCTGGACTTTCCCTTGCTGGGTAAACAGGTCATTATTATGTTGCACCATAGATAAAGAGATTTGGAGACTCCCGAATCTTATCAGGATAGCCTAAAGATGATCTCCTCCTATTGCTCTTTCCAGTGTACTCTTAAATGGCTGTTAAATGTTATATTCTGCGCCCTCTACGGAAAACTTCCCAGCTGGTGGAAAACTACAGGTTGAGCCCAAAATTTCCACGCTAAGCGAGACAGTTATACGAGTTTTGCTCCATTTTATGGTCTGGTTTGCCATCGCTGTTAAGTGAATCATAAAACACAGGATAAGATTCAAAACCTTTTGCAGGTCTTCTAGTCCAACCCCTGCCTGAGCAGGAGACCATTTTCGGCAGACTCCGTTATATTCATTTGACCCACATATCACTTCAGTTGTCCTTTAGTAACACTGTTGTTAAGTGAATCTTGGCTTCCCCGGTGACTTCGCTTGTCAGGAAGTTACAAAAGGGACACTGACCTCGGGATCCTGCAATTAGTTGCCAAGCATTCGAACGTTGATCACGTGACCCTGGGGATCCTGCCATGGTTGTAAGCATGAAAAATGGCCACAAGTCACTTTTTTCCGACGACGTAACTTTGAATGGCCACTAAAGGAATGGCTGTAAGTCAAGGGCTATTTGTACCGTTCTATCTCCTTTTGACCCTGTCTTACTTTTTAAAGCACTGTCGGATTGGTACGTGCAGTCTACCTTCTCTTAAATTCTCAGAGGAGAGAGAAAGGTGTTATGTCATGCCTCCATAGCCAGCGTTTTCCATGATTTGCACACTTAAACTGTGTAATTGCTGACTGGTATTGTAAAAAAAAAAAGAAAATGTTGGATTATGGATCCTTGCACAGATTAATCTGCGTGCAAAGGATCCATAATCCTAAATCTAGTGTTTATTTTTTTGCCAAAGAAAGTTAAAGTTGAAGAATAGAACAGTATTTCTTTCTGTTGGAAATACTCATCCATGTATTGGAAAATATTGCTCCGTGATCCAGTTGAACTCTTTCCTCTTTCCTGCCATCCAGGACAGAAACACGTGAATCTTGAGTTACTTAGATTTGATCATGCCTGAACAAACCTCAGATTTATATCCTCTTAACGCAACGAGACTTTTCCTATTAAAATGGAAAACGTATTCTCCCCTCCTTTCGCTGCTCAAGGCAGCGTAAGGTTCCTGTCCCGTGAAACGCTTCATTTTTACTTCAGTTTGATGGAGCTGAACAGCGATTCGGAACCTCATTTGCACATGAATGAGACACAGCCTGTTTACCTCATCTAATTCATGTGCAAACGATGTTCCGAATCATGTTCAGCTCCATCAGATTTCATGATTTTTAACGGGGGAGGATGTTCTTTTATTCAAGACTGATGTCATTTATTGAGTCGTTTCGAAGGTCAGCCAGGTCTGGATCCCTAAGCCGTGCGCAGCAAATAGATTTAATTAATTAATAAAATAAAATAAAATAAAAACATTCCGTCTTCGAAATGCATATTTTTCCGTTTCCACCAACTGACCAATGGCTGGCAGTCCTGGATCCCGCGGCTGGCTGACCTCTTTGTGGTAAAGGTCAGGTTTCTCACTCGGCCCCGGGGACTTTAGATTCCATGGCCTTTTAAAAGTGCCTGTACGGAGGCCATGAGCTGCAGAGAGCAGCCTGTGATCCACAGGGGATTTTATTTTGCATGCATGTGCTTAAAGCAGTCGCACCTAACTCGAAAGCCGCAGGGTTTGTTATGCGGTACAAATTGCGCTCCCCCCGTGATCTATCTATACCTATCAGCCAGCCATCTTTTTATGTTCGGCACAAACAGGAAAGCCTGAACTTGGAGCTTTGCTAATCCTTCACAGAAAGAATTTGGCAAAAACAAACGATAGCGTGTACGAGGCTTTGTGGGATCAGCCACAAAATTTTCCTCCAATTATAGCAGGCTGTGGCTTGTCCTAGGCCTTTATCGACTAAACAGAGTGACTTCTGAAATTTGAATTAGGTTTAATGTTTGTATTGAATGGTTGATCTTATTTATTAAAGGTGCTTGCTGCCCATCTCATCATAAAGCAACTCTGAGTGGCTGACAACATTAAAATGAGCTCCTCTTCCTCCTCCATCCCCTCCACTGTCCTCCTCCTCGTCTTCTCCGCCTCCTGCCTCCAAGCCCCTTCTAGCACTGATGGTGTTATCTAGTTGGGTAATGAAACGTCTGCAAGAAAACCACCAACCACAGAGAGCACCAGGGACCCCGCAGTTCGAATATCCTTTTCTACGGCTTTCTCTACTAGATTGGCATGACTTCCTTTTCAAAGTCCTTAGCCCACCAGGAGCACGTGATTTGACTCCCCATTTTCCTAACGTGCGAAGTCTGATCCTGCTAATTGTTTTCTTCGCAGAATCCTAAAACTAAAGAGCAGATTGAAATTCTGTTAAGAAATGGGAAGAACAAGGAGCTACGCGACCGTCTGTGCCGCAGGCTGACCTTTGGGACCGCCGGTCTCCGTTCCGCCATGGGGGCTGGCTTCTGCTACATCAACGACCTTACTGTGATCCAGTCGACCCAGGTGAGTTCCAGAGCCATTGGGAAGGCTAAAAGCTCTGTCCCCCTCTCTCCTCTGCCCCACGTACAACATCAGGTGCATTGTTGGTGCCCCGTAATGCATGAAAGACGTAACCTGAACTGGGAAAGCAAAAAATAAAAATCATTGTTTAATATTCCACGTGCCTCTGATACATCCTTGGTACGTGTAAAGCAGACGTCTCCAAATGTGGCAACTTTTAAAATTTGTGGATTTTCAGAATCTGTCAAGCAGTCAGGATGGATTGCAAATTCTGGAAGTTGAACCCACAAGTTTTAAAAGTTGTGAGACCGCCGATCTAAAGCAGTGTCTCTCAGCCTTGGCAACTTTGAAAAGGGTAGACTTCAACTCTCGGAATTCAGCTTGGATTTTATGTGGATTTCCAATCCCAGAATTCAATTTTAAGATCTGTGTACTTCAGATCCCAGAATTCAACTTGTAAGATGTGTGGACTTTAACTCCCAGAATGCAGCTTCAAGAATTGTGTACTTCAAGTCCCAGAATTCAATTTTAAGATGTATTGAAGATGTATTGAAGATGTAGGGAGTTCAACCATTTTAAGTCGAAGTCCACACATTTTCAAGTTGCCAAGATCGAGGAACGTTGATCTAAAACGTTTCTGCCCTGCTCTTCAACTAAAAAGGCTCAAAAACAGAGAATAAGGCAGAGCAAGTTTGTGTTTTCTCCTCTCGTTGCCAAATTTCCATTTGGAAAAAATGCCGCAGAAAAGGGCGAAATGGAAAAGGGAGAGAGAGAGAGAGACGGAGAAGCGGCATTCTGCTGATTTTCTGACATTTCTGGATTTCCGCCGTTGCCGTCCGCTTAATATTGGGGTTGCGGGCCGGTTTTCAGTAGCGTAGAAGAACCGAGGACCTACCCTAAGAGGAGGTTACCTGAGGCAGGACTTGGAGGAAGCAAGAACTGGCCTTGCTTTGGAGATGTTGACATTGTGGAGACAGTCGACAGCCCTTCTTCCTGTTGACTAGGCGCCAAGGGTTCAGCGAAACAGATTTGCCCGGTCTTGTTAAATAATTCTCCAAAAAAAAAAACCCCACCACCAAACCCAAAAACGCTTGGGGTTACTGGTGAACTTGGCTTAACCTCCCTTACAGGATAAAAACAATAAAGCGGCACAGAGCTTCCTGAATATTAAAAGAGGATTTGTTTTTCCTGCGCCTGCCAGAATATTACGTGGTGTGTTTTTTTTTAAAAAAAAGATTTAGGTGGAATAAACCCTGAGGAAATGCATTTATAGAAATGAACTCGAATGATTGTCGTGCGGCCCTATTGAGAAACAAAATGCTCGTTGCTTGAAGCGCTGTCATTTCCAATGAAGGGAAACGTTCCTTTTTTTAATCTGATTTTTTTTTTCTATCATTCCAAGGGAGGCTGTGGCAGTGATGTAGTGTGGTATATAGTGTGTGTGTATAAGGTAGTCTTTACCCCAGTTCATTTAATGACCAAAGTTACAGTGGCATTGGAAAACAGTGAGCTGTTTTTCACACTTAACGACTGTCGCAACATTCCCATGGACACGTGATCAAAATTTCAGATACCTGGCGACTGGTTCATACTTGCGACGGTCGCGGTGTTCTCAGGCCACGTGATTCCCTTTTGTGACTTTCTGACCAAGTCGATGGGGAAGCCGGATTCACTCGCCAACCTTCTTACTAACTTGAAAACTGCGGTGATATTCGCTTAACAGCTGGCAAGACAAGTCGTCAAGTGGGGCAAAACCCGCTTAACAAATACCTCACTCGGGAACGGAAATGTCGGGCTCAATTGGGGTTGTAAGTCGAGGACTACCTGTATAAATGGAGACCTTCCTTCTTCTCCCTTCTCTGAAGCGCCCGTGTGTGAGGGGTGGACTTATTAACCATCTTGGTTAGGAGGATTTGAAATACGAAGAGGTGGCGCTTGCGTGCGCAGGATTGAAAACCTGGAGCAAGCCTTGCTGCACAATCACGTAAACATGAATTAATCGAAGCGAGAAGGCAGGTCAAAAGAGCTTGGATGGCTCTGGAAATTCATGCCAAGCTCCCAACTTCCTCCTTCTTGACTCTGAACTGGTCATGCTCCGAGAGGCTGCCCAGCACGTGCGGCCTGTGTGTTTTGGTTTGCTGGGAAGAATGTGCAGTTGTGAGATTGGCTGATCAAATCAAAAGAGGCATTTTCTGGGAGGAAGTTCACGTTCGGACACCGCGGAGTCTCTGGGCTGCTTTTCTGTTTTGTCGATTACATTCCGGGGCTGCTGGATGTTTGCTTCCCTAGTTCTTGAAGAATTGCTATTCTTTTCATCTAGTGGAATTGGGGCGGTTATTTGGTTATGGACAAATCCTCCACGTAGGCATACATTTGGGGCCTGCCAAATTTTTCAGCTTTCCATTTCCAAACATTAGGAGTGCTCAAAAGTTGTGACATGCCTTGGGAAGGTCGTAAAGATATTTTGGTTACTTTAATGTTATTTAGATGTGGTTGGTAAGTGACTTGCTAAATATCATAACTTTTTAACGTTTTGTTATATCTGTGTGTGTGTACACACACACACACAAACACAACTTGTTTATACAGGGAGGGAGGGAGAGGAAGGACTTAGTGTCAGATCCGTGTATCTGCCGTTCTTCAATGGGAGAAGAAGGCGGGGGGGTGTGTGTCGGTACAAGTAATCCTTTTTGATGTAACCTGAATATATTAAACCCTATATTGATTCTGGATTACTTGCATATGATATACAACTGGAGGAGTGGAGCCAGATGTCCAGAAACTTGTCGCCTCTTGAAGACATAACAAGATGAGAAGGAACCATAAAAATTCCAGCTCCGGAAGACACTCCTGGGAACTCTTCTAAGACACCCTTCCCAGAGAAGGGGAGGGAGAAATTAACATGTTGGTTCTTTGTTTTGACTAAAAATCCACATCTGAACAAGGGGAGGGATTTTAACTTCCTTTATCCGGTGACTTATATCCCTGGGGATATCTTAGACTCTGCTTTGCCTGGGGTTGAGATAAAATCCCTTTCAATCGAGGATTCCTACCTGATCTTCAGAAGTTCGTTCCTTTTGATTGAAGGGGAAAAGTCCAGTGCTTACACTTAGGTTTAGAAGAATGCTGATGTCTCCGTAAATTTCCAGTAGTCACTCCAGGATATTTTAGTGAGCATTTTTTTGGTGTGTGTGTGTGTGTGTGTGTGTGTGTGTTAATGAAGGTGTTTTTTCTTGATCTTATCCTAACTGCCAGCCACGTATGCATATTTAATTGAGGAAGATCAGTCAGCTGCCTTATCCATCCAGTGATAAATATCTTGGATAAGTTGCGCATTGCACACAGCCGTAGTTGCTCTTAATGTGCTAACCGCATTTGCATCGGTAGTAGCCTTTGGCAGGCTGGCACTGGCTTGTAGATGGGGAAGGGGCTGCTTTTGGTCCTCGACCTGCCCCCCACAACCCCATATTCCCTATGTCAACCTTGTATGACCCCCATTGATTCTACACAGGGGGCAGAGATAGAGTAGTGTGGTTTACGTCCAAGTCAGCCCAAGCAAAGCTGCGGAAACTTGGATTAACCTCTGACTTCCACACCCCAGGTCCTTCTCATCCGGCGTTCCTCAGCCTTGCTGCCTTCCCAGGGTGTGTACTTCAACTCCCAGAATTCCTCAGCTAGCCAGGCCGCCAGGGTTGTGGGAATTTCTCGGGGGGACCCATATTTTATTCAACGTTGCCTTCCACAGCTCATTTTGAAGTCTCTTGTTTATTCCTTTAGGGTAGCGTTTCTCAATCTTGGCCTCCTCAAGATGGGTGGACCTCAATTCCCAGAAGCCTTAGCGACGACCATGCTGGCTGAGGAATTCTGGGAGTTGAAGTACACACACGCCTTAAATTGGGCAAGGTGTGGAGAAACACTGTTCTCACAAGCGAATGGAATCCAGCAGTTTTTGAAATGAACCAATGTCCAGAATTGGTCCCCACCTATACATTTTACTTATACATTTTTACTAAGGTTTTTTTTGTTGTTTAATCCATGTTGTAGCTTGCCCTAAGAAAAGGACCATGCAGTGCAGACTTATTGAGCACTCAGCTAAATGTGGTAAAGATCCTGCGATGGGATTTGTGCTGACCGAAGTACCAGGCACTAAATCAGCATCCCCCCCCCACAAACAGCCATTTTGAGCCTCCGCTGGATTTGTGCTGATTCCGAGAACCCACCTGGGGTGCATCATTTGAGCCCCCGCGGCAGGATTCATTTGGGAGAAATTAAAGGAAAAAAAAAGCATCGGTGCATTTAATAGAGCTGCACCTGTGCAGAACACAAAAAAAGGCGAACCAAGAACAATATCGGGGTGTCAGGTATGTGGAAGGAAGATAGATAAAAATTTCTCCCTCGGAAAATTACAAGTTAGAACGCGAAGTCTTTACCTGCCTCACTTTAGGGTCCCAAAATAGAGAAATATATACACCTGAGCGCTTCACTCTTTTAATCTGGAGTAGCCCGGTTTCTTCTCTCTGTCACGCAGGGCATTTTATGCTACCCTGCAGTCATATCTCAGTTTAATGAAACTCTAGGAGGTTAGAGTATTTGGCCCGTGCGATGGATCTTCGTCTCACTTCCTTTCTTCATATCCCTCCCTCCCTATCTCCCTCTCTCTTTCCTACCATTCCCCCTCCCTAAAGTTCTGCTTATCCAGAAAACAAAGTCGCGATTTTAACCGACTAGTTTTGAACCTGACAGTGGCCCAGATAACAAATGGAAAGTTTTTTTGGGCATTGTTGTAGTTCGCGGTTGCGTGGAGAAAGAGGCCGCGGGTCTATCGATCTACTTAACTTAAACAGAATTATCTGAATTAGTACGCTGTCTTTAGCCTGGAATGGCATGTTTGTTTTGGAAATCTTTATTGTGGGGGAATATAATGAACTGTTATACGTAGGATAAATTATTTACCGATCAGCAAATATTGTTCAGTGTGAAGTTTACTTTAGCAGTTATCTCCACCTTATCGGCGCTTGGCGAAAGCGACCGACCGAGAATAGTTCTTTTTGTTTTTCTTGCAAAGCGATCCAGGGATCAGTAGCTTCAAATAGTAGCTGATCCAGGGGCCTCGTTGTAAGAGACCTTGGGCCCTGCCAGACATCATGTAAATATGAATTCCTCCTTATCGTTCAAAAGAAAAATGCTTTATGCTTTCACTGTGTACACCCACTGCCCAGAATCCCTTGGGTGAGATAGGCGGCTCTATAGTTTTGAGAAATAAATAACAATAAAAACCACACCCCATATCAATCGACGTTATTTCCCTTCTTGATACACCGGCATAGAAAGATGGCAAATTCTCTTTTCAGGTTGATGAACAAAACAACACGATGGATCAAGGGGAGATTCCTCCATCATTCCGGCTGAGGAAGCTCGGCGTGGAAGAATTAAATGCCTCTTTTTATTAACCCACTGATTCATCTGTAGCAACGTTTCTCAACTTGGTTGGTTTTTAAGATGTGTGGACTTCAACTCCCAGAATTCTCCAGCCAGCCAGGAATTCCGAGAGTTGAAGTCCACACGTCTTAAAGTTGACGAAGCCGAGAAACACTGATCTACGGAGAAGGGTATAAAAATAAACATTACAAAAATAAATTGCACTGAATTTCCTTTTTTTTTAAAGAAAAAAAAATTGAATTCTAAAATAACTTGTTTAAGCATTAGGCCGGTCACCGTGTAATACCTATAATTTATACATATTGCCAAATGGAGCCACCACTTCCTTGGGCTGAATCTGAGAGTGATGCCTTCGGGTCTAAGCCACATAAAATCATCTTAATAAACTTCACCTTCCCTTAAGTTTCCTGCTGAGGCAAACAATACTGTGTTCTCCCTCTCTTCTTCCTTTCCTGCAGGGGATGTACAAATACCTTGGCCAGTGTTTTTCCGACTTCAAGCAACGTGGTTTCGTGGTAGGGTATGACACAAGAGGCCAGGTGACCAGCATGTGCAGCAGCTTCAGGTATGGACTTGATCCAGGTTTAAAAATCTAGAAGTAAAGAATGCGCCCATTTCTCTCCCACAGGCCACTAAAAATAGTTTGAAGGGGAAAGCAGATCTGGAAATAAACATTTTTTTCTCTGCAAATAAGCAGCAGTAATAACTGTGAATTAATACTTTACATAGACCTGACTGGATTCCGATCTTCATTCTCTCTCAAGAAATTTGGATAGTTTTGGGTACAACGGAATAGAAGCTGTAGATCTAGATCTAAATCCTTCATTGCAGACAAAACATTTAAGCAGAATTGAATTAGCCTTTCACCTTGGGTACAACTGTCATACATTCTCCTGCAGAATTTGCCGTTGATCCTATTGAATAAGTCTGGAATCCAAGAGATGCACGGGGCCCTAAAAATCCCTTTTAAATCATTTTGTAATATATGGAAACCTTTTGATTCGGGCAGTGAGGCTGATTCAGAAGAGAAATTTGGACCCCCAGGCCTGTGTTTCTGTGCTTGCTCTCTATCCCTCAGCACTTTAGGGCTCCAGAATAGACAGGCGCCTTAGTCAGCACTGCGTAGTAATTTGTGCTGTTGAGAAAGATAGCCGGTTTTTTTTATGCCCTCGGCTCGGTGTTTTTAAAAAGCTCCTAGAGGCTGCCTGGATTAGCCCCTGCTGTATTCTAGGCAAGATTGCAGGGTTGGTTTGCCATTGCCATTTTTCTACAGCTGAGAAACAGGGGAGCGTGGGACTAGAACTCCCCCCGTCTCCTGTTAACTGAAGTCACCCAGCTGGCTTTTGGGCCTAAGTTGGAACTAGAATTCACTGAGTTACCCAGCTGCTTTCATGCTTAAAACGGAACGAGAAGTCCCCTTCTCCCAGTAATTTGACCAAAGTCACCCAGCCGGCTTTTCATGCCTGTAAGGCAGGATTAGAACTCGCAATCTCTCGGTATCTAGTCTGATGTCTTAACTGCGACACCAGACTGTTTCCCGTGGCGAAAGTTAGGAAAACGTAATGCAGCATGAAAGAAATGGCTGAGCTGTTTTTGGCAGCTCCCATCGTAGCTCGTTGCCGGTCCTGCTCATGGCCGAACGTTTGGGCTTCCTGAGAAGGAAGGCGTTTATTTCCTGCATTTTAATTTCTTCTTTTCCACAGACTTGCCCGACTCACAGCAGCCGTCCTGCTTGCGAAGGGAGTTCCTGTTTACTTGTTCTCAAGATACGTCCCCACGCCTTTTGTGGTAAGCGGCTGTTTTTTTTAAAAAAAAAAAAAATCCTGACTGAGCTTCATGGGGTAGTTTTGTACTTTGGTGGAATTTGGTGGCACAGTGGTTTTGAACCAAGCTGGCCATCTCAACCGCCGTAGCTCGATATGAAGTAGGGTTAGCGCTGGGCACCCCCTGTTCTGACCAAGGCTTCCTG